TGTTAGAGTATCCTCGATGAAAACAGTTTTGTATCGCGACGAGAGAGTAATTAAACCCTTAGAAACCTCTCGATATGTTCAAATGGTTTGCTCTGCTTTATTGAATACATAGCTCAGTTTTTATCAACTAGATTAAGCCGTAACTATGTAACAAAAAAATCAAAGAAACTTCTGGAATACGAACACTAATCATGATAAACGATGATGAAACCTGTCCTAGAAGTACCAGCACTGGGATTTCTTTCACTTACCATAATGAGATTTTCGAGATCTCATACAAATATCCTTATGGTATTTCTTGAATACAGCCTCTGAAGATTATATTAATGCACACACCTTTTTAGTGATGATGGATAGTGACTAGTAATGGTAGCCATGATGAGCATATCGTCCTACTTGGGACTCGTCAGCTGGATGTACCTGCCTCCCAGTAAATGATGGATGATATACTCTTCGCACAAGAAGTGGCCACCGTGGCTCGACTATGTGATGGATAACGCTGTCACGTTTGAAGTGATCACTCCTGAGTCCGAATCCCGGTGGGATCAACATCACTCACTGAGAGGCAAGTACATCCAGCCGACAAGTCCCAAACAGGAAGAAATGTGCATCCTGGATTACACTGCTAGCCACTATTCATCTTTACTAGGATTAAAACACTGGTAATATCGAGGCATCCACCCAGGAGACCATATGCCAATAGAGATCGTTCAATTGGGTCCAATCAATGACAGTATAATACAAGCAATACAAGCTTTTTCAAGCAAATTCATAAAATCAACCTAACTGCTAATAATACATGTGTAGTGCACCAAAATACAACTAGGGCTAAAATAAATAGATTTAATTGGGTTAACTAAATATTAACTACATAAACTTCTAGCTTACCTCTATATGCTTAATATGTTTCGAGTTTTGTTTTAATGAGTGTGTGTTTAAGCAGACCTCGACACCATTTTCGCTCTCTTTGTGCTGGTTAACATGCACGTCCTCAGAGAACCTAGCACAGGCGGATTAGCCAGATAAGTTGGATAAACTTTATCCCGAAAGTCACCTTCAATTTTATTCTATTGGAATATACTGCTGTTTTGAATATATTCCTGAATAACAGTTTTTTTTATTTATGTTCCGCTAACAGTACTAACACGTTATTTAGGCATTGATTGGGCAGGTACTAGAGCACATCCAGTTAAGTAAGGTTGGTTAAGCGTTGCATAATAGTGATACATCCAGTTTCAAACAAGAGAACGGAACCAAAAAGAACAGACTCTTCGGCAGAACATGCTGACGTAGGCACTCATGGAGAAAGAATGGTTGTTTTTCTGTGGAAAGAACAGACCCTTATTCAGGCAACCCAAAATCGTCTTCAATAAAAAAACAGTGTTAGTTAGTAATATACAGAATGTCATTTTTAAGCTGTTGGTAACCAGCTTAGCGTTATCAACCCTTACAAACATTACTCTTTCCATTCAGACATTTTTATTTGACAAAAAAATCATTTTGAAGTTTAATATTTTGCAAGACACCTCTTTGTCATTGGAAGTGCATGCAGCTTCCTCACTTCGATCGAATGTATTTGGACACTGCAGTCTGTCTTATCAATAAGTATAGTGGAAAATTACTCATTCATCAGTTATTGAGGAGCATGAAGAATTCACCTGTTTTGTATTCCCCACTCTACATTTGTTTTTTGCACACAGATCGTTGAATTGCTCAGCTAGATTACCACTTAAATTAGCTAAGTGGATTTAAATCCAATGCACAATTGTAAAATAAGTTGTAACAGATAAGACTGGAAAATGTGACTATGATCACAAATGGCAGACATACCTACTACAAACTCTCCATCGGTATGAAGTTAGAAAGAGTAATTTTGAATACCTCAGTACTTTCGAGGGTAATCATTACCATTTCAAACACAGGTAAAAGATAACCCTGTTGCAATGCTTTGTTGCAGATTTCCGTTTCTATACCAGTTCTCTCCAACCGAATTACGCCTGAATACGGTTGACAAGTGTAAACGGTTAGACTGTTCATGATAACAGAGGACAACAATGAGTATTTAGAATATTACTGAAATACCTGGTTAATACAAAAGTGAATACACATATCTCTGTGTTGTCATATTCAGCTTGTCGAAGTGCGTGCACTTAATTCTGTGGTCAACTTCACCAAGTAGTAACTTCTCTTTTACCGTTGTTTTGTTACAGGCTGTTTAAGGTGATTGCCAATTGAGAAAAAGAGATCACTCACAGACTGACTGCTTCACACAATATGCAAAATTGAGTACGTTGCAAATCATTTGTTTTTTGTAGAAAGTTGCAGCTCAAACGACTAGTTTTCGGCACTTTCGTGCTACCTAAACCATAAGCATGTCAGTGAATTTCATTTATTTGTGATCATAAACTCCTAATGTATGAAGTAACGTCAGTAAAGTAAGATGTTTGTTGAATGTTTTAATATACCCTATTCTGTGGTTGTGTGTTAATGCATGCATTTCAATAGCTCAGTTTTTTCCTAGATTATTGATCCGTTACGTATTTATACTTCAAGACCTCTCATCCAATGTCAGTTAAGCCAGGTGTAGTCAAATGTTTAAATGATAGGGCTATAAAACTGACCAGTCAGTGCAAGGACCTAAACGAGGAACTGAAGCACATAAAAGAAGCGCTCATAATTAGTAATTATCCCCAATAGTTTATTAAGAAATTCGTAGGAACACATAAGAAACGAAATGATAACGGTAATAAAAGTACGAATAATAACAATAACACGAGTAAATAGGAGTTCACAGCCTACACTGCGTTACCCTATAAAGAAGGTACATCAGAAACTTTACGTAAGATTCTCAAAAAGACTGGAATTAGGGTGTCATTTAAGCCTATAAATTCACTCAGAGATAAGCTTTGTTAGCTAGCTTAAGGATCCGACAGAACCAATTAAGCAAAGCAATTTAATCTATCAAATCCTGTGTAATGACTGTGAGATCAAGTAGGTAGGTCATACTAGCCGATCAGGGTCAGTTATATTGGTGGAACGTAGGAATTTAACTAGATGTAGAACGGCAGACTCGAATAAGATCAATAATCTAGAAGAAACCTTGGCTATTGAAATGCATGCATTAACACACAACCACACTATAGAGTGCATTAAAACCACTATACTTAAGTTCAATATAATTAAGTGGCGAGGAGGACTGATTACTGAATCTTTGTTCATCAAATCAACACCCAACACATGTGATTGAAATGAACCAACACCTGTACCAGGAATATGGAAGATTATACTACCAGTAAAAATCAAGACTATGTGATCGGACTATAAAAATCAGATGTCGAAAGTAGTGTGATTACAGTGATATAATGATTATGAGGAATAACTTATGCTCGTAACGTCATCAAGTAAATGATACTGTATCACTGCGTTATAAAGTCGGATAAAGTCTTTCTTATTGAACTGGTTTTTCCGACGACGTTTTATAACTTTGATTTGCAAATTCAGTACATCTTTCTTGCTGAGAATTAGCAGCAGCCCGCTATTTTTATCTCACATAATTTTTGAGAAAAAAAAATCAACTCCAGTGACCATTTTTATTATGAAATATCAGTTTACTAATGTGTTTTATTTATATACATGTTGACCAGCACAAATCTACTGTTATTACGACTTTAGAACGGTAAAAATACTAGTAAAACGAATGTAGTTATTAAAGTGATACAGAACTTGAAAAGGCAAAAAATCAGAATTAAGGGGAAATATAAAATCGATGAGTTTAAGCCAAAATCTAAGGCTTCAAATGGTTCATTTACTTTTCTTCTCCTCATTCTGTCATTTATTTCTCAATTCATTAAGTCAACATACCCCGAAACAGTTCTAACCAACCATCACTGACCTGATATGGTGCAGCTACACCTAATTTTAACTACGCTGTAACCATTCGCACTGCAGTTGTACTTCTACGGCGACCTGAAACAGATGATGACTGGCTATGTTTCACACAACCTATCTTCTGTCAACTTACAAGAATTTATCAGTACTAAGAATGTCTACTCATCTGTACCTAAACTTCTATCCTAGCCTCATCAATCGTCACTTATTGTTTCAACGGCATACAAATGGTTTTGCTAGAAAAGTAATGACAGATGGTTTGAATATTCTCAAGTTGTATTTACTGTGTAGTGTCTGTAACTTCATCGAATTTTACCTATCCAAGATACTTACAGGGGGAATCCGTAGATACATTACTCTGCCTTTCTCATACACCTATGAAAAATACTTACCTATGATAATTCACACATTCCTTGTCTCTAAATAACTAAGTTAGCTTAACCCACTTTTGTGGTCAGTATTAATTAATCCCATCGGCTGTCTTACAGCTAAAGCAACCTTGAAATAATCACTAGGTTGCTAATTTTTTTTAAAATGTATTACTCTTTTGAAACTCTAACTAATCCATGTTTCTGAGAATATCAGAAAGTGACATGTAATGTAATATCAGTTAAATGCATCTTTTATCATAGGGATATGAAACATATCCTTAATCCAGCTCATTAAAAAAAAGTATTTTGGAACTCATACCGTTAAATGTTACAATGCAGAAAACGAAGAGAGAAATATGAGAAATATGTTTAGTCTGCTCGATGAAACAATTTATACTAAAACAACTCTAAGTTTAAACACTATGACCATTAAATTTTTAGTGATCTGAATGAATACAAATAATCGTTAGAAAATTTAATCACATGTACCATTGGTTTATACCAACTTTGACATTTAGCCAATGAAGCGTTTTTGTACCAGCTCATTGTAGTAAATATCATTATTACGATGAAGAGTCTGTCATCCACAGATTATATCAATCTTTATTAACTTGGCAGGTTTTGATTTCTTTGTCTACCATGTTCTTCGTGGTAAATTCACTATTTTTGGTTATTTTGGTAAGGAAATCCTTCAAGGATATATCTAAAAATAAGTGTCCATATATTCCGCAAAAGTCAATTACATTTTGAATATACTGACAATCAATGAATCTGTTGACTGATTACTGCACGGGCAGATATAGAATTCTGTTAGTTTTTAAGATTTTAACAAGTAAATCCTTTTGTAACAATTATTTATGAAGGCTAAAATAAAATCTGCGACAGAAAATACCCGAATATATTAAAAATCACCTTAAACTGAAAATGAGCAATCAATTTGTACCTACGAAACACTGATGCATAAGACAGTGAAGTGTGGGCAGGCCATATAGCAGCCTGTTGACCAATCAGGATTCTGTTCGATATTGGTTGCCCAGGTATGAAGTTGGTAGTTATCGTGCACAGCAAAAATTCAAATTATTTTCGACAAAACTGTACTGAGCGCTCCGTGTAGGCCCGTTTTTTTAGGAGTTATTCATATATAAATTAATCTCTCTACGATATGGTATGTTCTTCTAAATAATTTTGAGTTTTACCTATCATTAGCGTGAGTGCATCAGTCTTCATATTGGTCAGTCTGGTGTTCAAGTTGGTAATGCATGCTGGGAGCTTTATTGCTTAGAGCATGGTATTCAACCGGATGGTCATATGCCAAGCGATAAAACAATCGGTGGAGGAGATGACTCATTTGAAACATTTTTCAGTGAAACTGGAGCGGGAAAACATGTTCCACGAGCAGTTATGGTGGACTTAGAACCAACAGTTATTGATGAAGTTCGAACTGGTACATATCGCCAACTTTTCCATCCAGAACAGCTCATCACTGGAAAAGAGGATGCTTCAAATAATTATGCTCGGGGTCACTATACCATAGGAAAAGAAATAGTAGATTTAGTCTTAGATCGTATTCGAAAAGTGGCTGATCAATGTGGAGGTCTACAAGGTTTCCTCATTTTCCATTCATTGGGAGGTGGAACTGGATCTGGATTTACATCTTTATTATTAGAACGTGTCAGTATAGATTACGGCAAAAAATCAAAACTTGAATTTGCCATATATCCAGCCCCACAAATTTCTACATGCGTAGTGGAACCGTATAATTCCATTTTAAATACGCATACTTCTCTAGAACTTAGCGATTGTTCATTTATGACTGATAATGAAGCTATTTATGATATATGTCGGTAAGTTTTCTTGTTTTGTAGTACATATTTATCTTAACATTATTTTCTCTCTCTGTCTTAAACAGACGTAATTTAGATATTGAACGTCCTACTTATACAAATCTTAATCGACTGATTGCTCAGTGTGTGAGTTCAATTACTGCATCTCTTCGATTTGATGGATCACTGAATGTTGATTTAGCCGAATTTCAAACTAATTTAGTCCCATATCCTCGTATTCACTTTCCACTGACAACACTTGCTCCAATTATTAATGCAGAAAAAGCTTATCATGAAAGATTGACTGTAACTGAAATAACAAACAGTTGTTTTGAACCAGCAAATCAGTTAGTTAAATGTGATCCACGTCATGGTAAATATATGGCATGCTGTTTATTATATCGTGGTGATGTTGTACCAAAAGAAGTAAATACATCAATAGCAACAATCAAATCAAAACGAACAATACAATTTGTTGATTGGTGTCCAACTGGTTTTAAAGTTGGCATTAATTATCAACCGCCAACTGTAGTACCTGGTGGTGACTTAGCCAAAGTTCAACGTTCTGTATGTATGCTAAGTAATAGTACAGCCGTTATTGAAGCATGGGCTAGATTGAATCATAAATTCGATTTAATGTATGCAAAACGTGCATTCATTCATTGGTTTGTTGGTGAAGGTATGGAAGAAGGTGAATTCTCGGAGGCAAGAGAAGATTTAGCAGCTTTAGAAAAAGATTATGAAGAAGTTGGTGCAGATACTGTTGAAGGAGATGAAGAAGGTGAGGCGGAAGAATATTAAATTCGTTTATATAACGGTAAATAGATGAAATATAATGAATGGAAAAAAATATTTCGATTAAATATCAGCAATAATATACATATATAAAAGTGATCCTTCAAGTAACAAGTACCAGTCAACCAGTTAAAATAAACTGTACAACATTTGATTGAATCAAATTACTCTATAAATGGGAAATTTATATTCCAGTCACTTGTTAACTAAATAAAAAGACAATAACTTTTAAACTACTATCACAAGACATACATTGGTTCAGTGATAGCAAAAAGTTGACAATATTAGAATGACAATAATTCATCTGTCATTTTGATATAACTTGTTTTTCCTTTACTTGGTTTAATTAAGAGTGATTAAAAACTATTGGGATTAATCTATAGTTAAAGTGATGTACTAACTACATTTATTTAGATGTGGGATATTTAGATATTTAAGATTATCACTCATATGTTAACCCTGTTATTTAGAGGATAATACAATAAATCAGTGAGAATATTAGGTTGATAGTCCCAGTTATATTGTTGCATACTTGTTAATTCTAGAATAATCTATACCTGGAAATATTTACTAATAACTGAGCATAAGTTATTTCTATGCATGATAATGGTTTGGCATTTAGTTCTTACTGATTACACTTTTAACTCTGTTTAAAATTGTAGTTGGCTAAAACAAGTGCTAAAGCTAGGAGAGATAAAATACAAATACGATTTCTGAGGTCTGATATACTGTACAGTTCATAGTGAACTAATTTATAGGTTGGATGATATCTCTAGGCTACTCAAAGATATAATTTCAATCCAAACTAATGTGCAGTTCTACATTCTCATGACAAATTATTATGAATTTGGTGTGTTAGGGGTTAGTTATTCCCATTGAGAGATGGCATTGCCGTTAACTTGCCATCTGACCCAGTAAGAATAAACGCAAAATCAGTAGATTGTTAATTAACAGAAAATGCTCACATTGTCATAGAACAATAGGTTCGTTGAGAAGTGCTTTATAAAAAGTCCAGCTTAATGAAAGTAGACCTAACCTAATCACCTTTACTTGATGCATATGAAGTACTTAACCCAGAGATTGCTGAACCATTGTGTTTACTGTTAATAAAACACACGGTAAACATTTAACTATTCTTATTGAATACTTTTAATCCAATGCTACATTACAGCAAACCAATGATATTCTTTGAATTACAACTGCAATTATTTACTTAAAACTTAACGAAAGCAATAGGAAATGGGAATATACGTTAAGTAATAACTTAAAAGAATAGAATGCACCACTGTGTATTTTTATATAGAGGTTTGAATAAGAGACTATGAACCACATCCAGAGTATGAAGGCTTACAAAAATACACGTTTATCCTAATCCAAATGCATAGAGGGAGCTTAAAGCTGCTGCGCCAGAGAGGAGGAAAATACTCAGAAATCGTTTCATCGTAGTTCGAGACTTCTCAGTGGTGCATACAGAAAAACTATTAAGAGAAGGATTTTATAGCATTCAACTACAACGCTAACACGCTTTCGTTCAGGTAGTATTAAAGCAAATTAAAGCTAAAGGAAAGAGTACGATGAATTCTTCCTAAAAACAACTCTGTCCTAAGAGTTGTTATATAGTGACAGATGATATATAGAGTAAGAAATACCTCATCCCAAACAACCATTTTCTTTAACTGACAGTATCTAACGGTTTTATTCTAGAAAAAACTCATTTTCTAAGTAATATATTCTTTTTGATTAGATTGTATTCATAAACACGCATTCAAGAAACGCCTATAAGTAGTTTTCAGCAGCATTGCCTGTCGATGAACACAACTAATAAGAATGATGTGCGATTTGTTTGACAGTGAATCTACTGGGAAACCACAATTTATACGATCTGATTGACTTTATGGAGCTGAGTTATACGAAATCTACTTTTGAAGTCCTTAAAGCAGTTGGAAACTGTAATGAATATTTACAGTCATTCAGTAAACCTCGAAGATTTAAAACGTTTCACCAAGCACCATATGTAAATATCGCGCTACATGGTCACTGAGTGCAAAATACTTTCTTAGCACACTTAAAAATACTCAAGGTCACTTTTAGATACATGAGAAGACATTTTTATCAACATATATCAAACTGTCATAATGTCTTCAACTATATTACCATCTCCAGATGAAGCCTCCAGTAGTTGTGAATTTTGGGACGCAGAGGCCACAGTTCTAGTTTTCTATGCCAAGAAATATCATAAAGAATCTTTAGAACTTACTGTAATTTGTTGAACTCGTTGAAAAAAGCATGATTCTCTCCTACAAATAAATAATGCATAAATGTTTAACTGTCAATGATGCATGATAATTAAACTTTTTGATTTGAGACAAAATGCATAATGATTTAGTTTTAGGAAACTTTTGAAAACTATCTACTTCTATGTATTGATTGGTCACGGGAGTGCAACCAATTTCATGTTTTCTAGTCCCGAGTGCAGATCGCATCCTGTCGATCATATTTGCAATGTGACAACCAAGCTAGGAAGCTCAGCATCGCGGTGCACATTAGTAGCACATTGCATATGCGTCTTGCTGACGTGTGCTAAAAAGCACGAAACCTAGGTCCAGAGCTCCTACCGATTGCCTCCAACCAACTAACTATCTACTTCGACATAAATGTATCGAAATGCCCAATGATGCATTAAAAATAACTCCATTAAACGAAATCCAAATTCAGTATGATAAAGTTACTTCATTTTGAATCACTTAAAGATAATTCCACTATCAGAAATTTACAAAACAGTACATGAATATTATTATTAGGATTATCTAAGCTAGCTGTGATATATATATATATATATATATATATATATATATATATATATATATATATATATATATATATATATATACTGAATACGATTGAAGGTGGAATGAAAACCTAGTTCACCGCAAGATTGGAGCCAGTAATTCCCGGGTTTGCGGCATATGGTTCTATTAAGGGAGCTTCGAGATCCAGCTATCAATCAGATCTTAACTGCACATTAGTCAGCAAAAGCTTTCCCCGCCTGTAATGTAAATGTGTCACACAAAACTGCTTGTTCATTGTAATAACAAGGATTTGTTAATAAAGTTAAAGTATCTTTGTCTAACTATACTTACTTCTATTCAACACTGCTCTTTCCGTTGACCCTTCTTGTTTAACTGGTGAATTGTTCATTTTGAAAACAGTTTTGGTAGACTGAATGTATGTAAAATATAGACACATTGATACTACAAAATGATATAATGAGATTCGGTAATAAACCATCAGAGAAATGAAAATTATTGACCAACTCTATTCCACTTACGAATGTCCTCAAAGTTCAAGGTGATAAGTGGTTAGAAATACTGATTCAAAACAAAATATTCGGTTAAACGAAACTGTTACTTCTACATAAAACATATGATAGAAAAATAGTATAAGCATACGTTATATATCCAGTGATAAATAGTTATCCATAAGGATTAACAGTTTTTTCTCATTTAGGAAAACAACTCTTATTTTTTGTGGGTATGGTTGGGCGTTTTAATAAAGAACCCTTAGTAAAATGATTTACTTGTGTGATAATCATTTAACTCACTAGTTGTCATATCTGTGGAGTTAAATACAGCTTTCATGTCAAGGAGTACGAAGGTACTAGATACCGGCATATTCATATTTCGGGTTTACAAGATAACATTTGTATCAATACAATGATTTCTAAACTTGAAATCTTTCTGGTCTTCTCAAGCCTTTTGTAATCAGAGACGATAGATGGTCAAGGTAGGTTTGCGAAGAAATCTCTTCTTATTTTGAAGCTAGTTTTATCGTTATTTTAACTGAAAATGAACAATTGCTCTCCCTAAAGACTTGAAGAGGCAAACTACGTTAACCCGGTGATTCATTTTGCTTCAGGCATGACAGCGTCTATAATTCATTTTAAGTTAGGAAACTAAGTGCATTCTTCTTCTTAAAGGCTGTGATGGAAAATGAAACAGCAACAGTTTACTGCTCATCGTTTCTGTTCTGTGTATGAATCAATAGCCTATATTTAGGTATGATAGGTTAAGTAAATGTCGAAGTTTACAGACCAGTTTCCTTCAAATGTCTAAACAACTGTTTATTACCGCATGTCACAATTATCTTCGTTATCACTAGTGAATTTCTTTGTCTACTATCACCAACAGTCATTGTATAGTTCATATCCCAGTTTTCATTTGTGTAGTTCTTGCTGTTTATTTTATTTCAGAACTAGGATCCCTTCTTGTGTATGCGCATAAAGCTATTTAGACCATTTGCATAATGTCAAAATGTTCTTGTTTTTCCTGATTTTTTTCATCGCTATTCCTACTTTACACAGAGTAGTGGAGTATCAAATGAAATCTGAATGAAGACCACTTTCATACTTCGACAGAAAACTGTTTCTACTGACTTAGATACAGACACACAATTCTTATCTCGAAGGTAAACACGCAGAAAATCTTCAGATCCACATTATTATAGACACCAAATCATGTTTAGATATATACACAGTCAAACTGACTCATTGTTGGCGCACAAGTAATAGATACCTTCTAGCATTCCTAGATGACAGCGACTAATGACATTACTTAATTTATTTGCGTCATCTGACTAATGCTAGTTACAGTCAAGTATGACGACCAACAACAACAAGAACAAGCTCCAGTCATCATCAAAGGGAGAAACTTAAATGAAGTGGTCTCTTTCACGTACCTGCCTAGGCAGCATCGTTTCAACTACTACAGGCGGCGGTGGGACAGACGAAGACGTCAAAGCAAGGATCGGAAAAGCAAGACAGGCCTTCATTAACCTGAAACCAGTGTGGAGATCTTCTGCACTCCGCATAAAGAACAAAATCAGGATTTTCAACACCAATATCAAGTCAGTGCTTCTGTGCGGCTCAGAGACTTGGCGTGTTACGCAACGGATTTCCAACAAACTACAGACATTCATCAACAACTGTCTACGCTGGCTCGTTACTGAAGATCAGATGGCCAGAAAGAATGAGCTACAAGGAACTCTGGGAACGAGCCAACCAAGAACCTATAGCTGGACAAATATGCAGAAAGAGGTGGAGATGGATTGGGCATGCACTAAGAAGACCACTCGAGGACACCACGCACTTGAGTGGAACCCAAATGGGAAATGACGAGTTGGGCATCCGAGGTGAGGGTGACATGGAGGAGATCATGTGAGGAAGAAATGAGAGCTTCTGGGCAGTCGTGGAGCCAGGTTCAAAAGATTGCAGAGAACAGAGTGAAATGGAGAAGTGCTACTGAAGCCCTACGTTCCACTAGGAGCCCAAGAGACCAATAATAAAATAATAGTAATAATAATGACGATATTTCGCTGGATGCTTAATTATAT